TGTCTAACGTAAGTTGGAGCACCACCTCCATTAGTTCTTTGTGTCTAACGTAAGTTGGAGCACCACCTCCATTAGTTCTTTGTGTCTAACGTAAGTTGGAGCACCACCTCCATTAGTTCTTTGTGTCTAACGTAAGTTGGAGCACCACCTCCATTAGTTCTTTGTGTCTAACGTAAGTTGGAGCACCACCTCCATTAGTTCTTTGTGTCTAACGTAAGTTGGAGCACCACCTCCATTAGTTCTTTGTGTCTAACGTAAGTTGGAGCACCACCTCCATTAGTTCTTTGTGTCTAACGTAAGTTGGAGCACCACCTCCATTAGTTCTTTGTGTCTAACGTAAGTTGGAGCACCACCTCCATTAGTTCTTTGTGTCTAACGTAAGTTGGAGCACCACCTCCATTAGTTCTTTGTGTCTAACGTAAGTTGGAGCACCACCTCCATTAGTTCTTTGTGTCTAACGTAAGTTGGAGCACCACCTCCATTAGTTCTTTGTGTCTAACGTAAGTTGGAGCACCACCTCCATTAGTTCTTTGTGTCTAACGTAAGTTGGAGCACCACCTCCATTAGTTCTTTGTGTCTAACGTAAGTTGGAGCACCACCTCCATTAGTTCTTTGTGTCTAACGTAAGTTGGAGCACCACCTCCATTAGTTCTTTGTGTCTAACGTAAGTTGGAGCACCACCTCCATTAGTTCTTTGTGTCTAACGTAAGTTGGAGCACCACCTCCATTAGTTCTTTGTGTCTAACGTAAGTTGGAGCACCATCTCCATTAGTTCTTTGTGTCTAACGTAAGTTGGAGCACCATCTCCATTAGTTCTTTGTGTCTAACGTAAGTTGGAGCACTACCTCCATTAGTTCTTTGTGTCTAACGTAAGTTGGAGCACCATCTCCATTAGTTCTTTGTGTCTAACGTAAGTTGGAGCACCACCTCCATTAGTTATTTGTGTCTAGCGTAAGTTGGAGCACCACCTCCATTAGTTCTTTGTGTCTAACGTAAGTTGGAGCACCACCTCCATTAGTTCTTTGTGTCTAATGTAAGTTGGAGCACCACCTCCATTAGTTCTTTGTGTCTAACGTAAGTTGGAGCACCACCTCCATTAGTTCTTTGTGTCTAACGTAAGTTGGAGCACAACCTCCATTAGTTCTTTGTGTCTAACGTAAGTTGGAGCACCACCTCCATTAGTTCTTTGTGTCTAACGTAATTTGGAGCACCACCTCCATTAGTTCTTTGTGTCTAACGTAAGTTGGAGCACCATCTCCATTAGTT